TCACGCTTTTATAATTTTACAAAATTACAGTTTTGAGTATTCTCAAGACTTTAAGAAACATAGTTAGAGTAGATAATTTAAAGAGAAATTTAAACGTAAGATTTAAACCGGAAAGTTTCCTCCTGTATTTCAGGTATATACACAGCAAGGAGAAACCGTTTAAATGCGCTGAATGTGGCAAAGGATTCTGCCAGAGCAGGACACTGGCTGTTCATAAAATTCTGCATATGGAGGAATCGCCGCACAAATGTCCCGTCTGCGCCAGGAGTTTTAATCAGAGGAGCAATTTGAAGACTCATCTTCTCACACACACGGATATTAAGCCTTATCATTGCGCCTCCTGTGGCAAGGTCTTCCGTAGGAATTGTGATCTGAGGAGACACTCATTGACCCACAATTTGGGAGTACCGTCGTCGCCACCACCATCGGGAATACCTGTTGCCGGTTCAAGCACCATTGTCCTTCAGGAGACGTCTTAATACATGGATATCGATTTTTCTTCGGTCATCGGGACAAAATCTTGGCTAAGCTTTCTGCCGACGATACGGATCGACATCCATTTATTATAACGCCGCAGTGATCTTGACTTCGACGTGCGATCGATTCCGACGGTCGATTCGGTCGTATCTGAGTCCACGGTCCAGTACGGTCAGGATTTCGATCTCTTGCACGTATTCGAGCCTCTGACTCACATCGTATCTATCCGCCTGCACTATCTATCATCGTTAACGTTTAGAGCGTAATCATTGTTATGTACATCACGATAATGATATACGAATTCGTGTATATTTAGGTTTGTAATTCTATGTATGCGATACGTAGTAGGTACCTTCTCTCTCTCTCTCTCTTTCTCTCTCTCTATCTCTCTCTCGAATAACGTATAGTCGTCTCCATTTTTAAACGGTACCTACTGTACGTGTCCATTGTGTTCTGTCGTTCACGTGTGTAAAATAAACATTTTATTATTATTTTTTAACTCACAGTCGTCTTGTACCCTCACTTAATCTTCCTCGCCTCTTGCGCAGCAAAATGATGGCTAAATCAAATCGGATTTAATTGGCTATTACAGGAAAACGGATTTCTATAGGTAAAATATTATTCCAGGCTTTTGAATAGAAATTTTAATAGAAAAAAATGTGTAGGAAGGAGTTCAATTTTGGAGCATTTATTATTAATGCGATCGATTTTATTTATTCCCTTCCCTAAAATTTTTTTTACCTCTCAGAAAAACCAGTGTGCGGCACACGTTTAATTTATCACACGCAAAACGGACCTCTTTGCTATATATAGTCGCGAAATATTTTAACTGTAACTAAATCTTCATCTGTGCGACTCTTAGATACATCAGACGTTACGGTGTGTTCACTTAAACAGGTTTTTTCGAGCGAGTACGTCAGCCCGACCGAAAATTCCAATCCCCCTGGTATTAAACCAGGATTTTTGCCTCCTCCTTTTTTATCCGTTCCACATATCCAGGCTAGGTATAAGCTGATGACGGGCCGGAGAGAAGAAGAGACAAAAGGGCAGCGGTAAGCTTGGAGGAGAAGTTAAAGAGGAGGAGATGGGGGAGGGGGGAGGAGGAGGAGGTGGAGGAGGAGCAGGAGGACGAAACGTGTGTATTGTGTTACAAAGAACGGGGCCGCCAGGTGCGCAGGACATGACACCGCGATACGTCTAGAGTTACGTTTCTTTTCTCGAAGGTGCCGGGAAGAGGAGGTGGAGGTGGGCTCGGGTGGGCCTCAACGACGCTATTTCGGATCCCGAAGGTATATCCAAAGACGGGCCTTCTCGCGTCGATAAGGAGAATCCTGTGCAACCGGTCGACTGCCGCTCATCGTCTCGAATGGAACATACGGCGGCTACAGCTTGCCCGTGTACGAGTATATGCTTGCCCGCGCACGTAAACCCGGACTCCCGGGCGAGCTTTCATAAATTCTTACCGGCGGACGTTTTACCGCGAATTACGGCCCGTCGTTTTACCGCAAAACCCCGTGTTGGCAAAATCGTGTTTACGGCGTCAGGATATACATATGGGAGTTACGAAGACGAAGAGGAGAAGCGCGGGAGACGTCGGCCAGGGAACGAGTCCTGAACTCTCGCTGAAAGCGACCAGAATGACTTCTCGATGAGAGTCTTTGTGTCACGTTCGTTCGAAGTATCGCTTATTTGTCCTGCACTCTTCTGCGGATACTTCTGCGTCGCGCCTGCGGAATTCTTGATAGTAACCATCTCGCGCTTAAACTCTGTATAGGCCTCTTTCAACTTGTGACCGTCCAAAGGACACAGGCGTTTGACGCCTTGAAAATGATAATAGAGATAAACAAGTCAATATTAATCGAAAATATTTAACTCGAAGCAAAATCTCGGGGAAAAGCTTTGGACATGCACTATTTTATTAGAATCCAAATGTTCTGAAAGAATAAATTTCGGAACACTGATGTCACGTTCAAATAAATTATACAGGTATATACTTTCGTATGTTTGAAAAAAAATCTGCGTGTGATTTTATAAAATTCAAGTTACATTATCGATTTTGCTCTTTTGCTTCAGGCCAATTATTACGCGTCCATAAACGATTAACAGAAATTATTTGAAAAGCGTCCGCATAATAATTTGCGCACAGATGATATATCATCATACCTTCTTTCATTATCCAAGAAAAATATCGCGCCGGAGAAGATTACAGAATTTAACGGTTATACGATACGATATAGAGTGGCTACGTGGGCGAGTGCATGATCACCTCACAGATACGAACTGTCAGCGTAGACGGCACACATTTCTAATTAAAACGATCGTATCGATAATGAGTATGGAAGCAATACGTTGGACTTTCTCGGCCAATTATGTATTATATCGACAAAGTTGACGTGCAAAATCGGAAGCGGGGAGGAGGGTGTTCGTAAAGTGGACGCAGCGCTCACGATGTGATTCGGAATGGAGAAAAAGGGTATATCTTCGAGCATGGTGGAAGCGAGGAAAGATCCGAGTAAGGCGGGGAACTGAGGGGACATAGAAGGACCACACGCACGCGCCGCCCACAGATACGCTATCACTTGGCTACAACCGACGTGATCTGCATGCGCGTGTCCCCTCTTCGTCATGGAGAACGGGGGGAAAAAAAAAAGAGAAAGAGCCAAGGGGAGAAGGAAAGGAAAGGAATATTCTCCCATTCATTCTCACTTATACGCTTCATCCCTCGGTCTTGCCTACCTATATCCCTTCGCTGATTTAAGGAGTCGACGAAGCGTCGATAACGCGATCGTGCTCGCCGCTATTTCTTTTTCTTTCCCCTCACACGATGTGCCCTGTTGCTTTCCGTCTTGTGGATAAATTTGATCGTGGAGATTAGGCCTCGCAATGTTACGCGCTGCTGGCAATTTGTACGTCGCGATTGATCCGCCGTTTACTGTGCCGGTTTGTGTGTGTCGCGACCGAAAAAGTCGCACAGCTTGCGATTTCTGATTCCCGATCTGTCTCCTTTTCAGTTGAACTTCTTGCACTTCCGTTCATCTCTCTGAAAAGAACAAACCTTTCATGTAACTGTAGAACACTAAATTATTTATTGTATTTCTCTTATTTGCAATTTTTCACACAAATTGATTAATCATTCCTTATAAATGATCAATTATTTGATCGTTTTTTTTACGATTCATCTTTAGACCTTTTTAATGTTAAATTGAAAACTAAATTATTTTAGTCGCGTTTGAATAAAGATTTTGTATCCGACTCTAAGTTTTTTACTTTGCAATCGCAATATATAGACAGCTGCTAACTCATTAAGATATATTATGTGTATTTGCCTCGTGAATATTTTACCTACCAATAGTACTGAGGACGTACAACCATTTTATATAATTTGACATCAATCTGCATCTGTAATTGTACTAGAAACTTTCTTTTACTCACACTGGCTGCCCTTTTTCATTGTTAACCGACGAATTGGTTGGATTATAATCATTGCTATGTTTTATTGTTCGACAAATTTACTAAATATAATATAGTTGCGTTTATACTGACTATTGAAAATCGAAGTTTAGATGATCCTTTAAATATGTTTGATTTTTGTTATATGGAATAATTATACTTTTGCGATTGACGAGGACTAAGTATAGTCGAAACGCATCGTTGGAAAATTATAAATTTATTATTGTAAAATAATAAATTTTGAAATAAAAAATTGTCAACATCCAATTATAGCTCGTTTAATTGTTGACTTGGATACTACTATTTATTAATTTGTTAAAAAACTAAATTTTCGTTACGTAACAATTAAATGATCGTAATGTATTTTATCGATATCTTTCGTTCTCTTCGACTGTGCGATTAAGTCTCCAAATGCCGTAACGATATTGTAAGATTACTAAAATGAAAAGAAATTTAGGTATTATAACGCGATAACATAGAGAATATTTTCCACGCCGACAAAAAGCGATTCTCCCACCGTTCGATGTTGGCTTCAGTGATTTTTCCGAAAAACGATCCAGCAGTAAAACGATTACATTATTACGACCGCGTAGTACCAGTTATATCGGTTTCATCCGCGATTATCATAAAAAGAACCGCCGATCCTCCGCCGTGGTTATTAATCCCGGATACTTCGCGTTGCACAATGTGATATTCTCGTCTTCCTCCCGCGAACATTTTCAGGCGTTCGCACGGAGCCGAAACGGAGCTCTCGCCGCTACTCGTTGCGTAACTCGATCCCGGCGTATTTACTACTTATGCAAATTGAAATTGAGCGTCCCGCGTAAATCGTAAATTTATTCCCGGCCCTTCTCACGCTTCGCGAGAGATATCGTCGTCATCAAGCCGCGCGATTGGCGACTGCACACGCACCGAAAGAGGATCGCGCCGCGAGAATCGAGACCCGCCGAGACGTGCCGGGCACGAAAGCGGGCCGAGGGAGCCGGGCGGAATGATCGCGCCGGCTGGCACGTGCGCCGGTATGCGTGCGCTTTTTGCGCGAGAAGAGCTCGTACGCACTGGGGTATAACATCTCCATACGCGGGAGAGAACGAAGTTGTACTTACCGATATACGATCGTAGCGGATGGTCGCGCGAAAGGCGGGGGCCACCCGCGATACCGTAGGCATGTATCGCTTAACAGCCGCGCCACGAGCATTTATAACGTGCAGCAATGAAACACGCTGACTCGCGCGCGGCCTCCGCTGCGTTGCGTCGCGACGGTTATCGCTCTCTTGGCTCTCAACGTGACTAGAATTTCTCGTTTCTTTCTTTCGTTATTGGAGTATAACCGGCATTAGACTCAAAATCTTCAGGCGAGACGATAAGTATAAAATGTAAATTATTTTGCGATCTACGGTGTAAATTCTGCACTCCGAGAAAAAGACGTATAGTAGTGACTATATGCGGGTGACAATTGTAAAAATTTTATGTTATCTAGAATTGATGTACGTAGTTGAATAAAATATTTATTCTGCTATAGTTACAACAATAAAGTAATATTTTTTACTTGACTATGTATACGTTATTTCTGCATGTAACTAGCATAGTTGTCACCTATATAATTGTTACCACTATGTTTTTCTCTGAATGTAAATAGTATCAGATGTAATTTGTTATAGATGTGAATATATAAGTGAAAGTAGTATTAGATTGTATAATAGTATGGATAAAAAATAATAAGCTTGAATATGTGTCAATTATAAAACGCAACGCACAAACTAATTTAATCATAAGTCTGTTTAATTTTTAATAAGTAGATAGGTAGTTTAGGCTCAATTGTACCAACGTTAAGCAAAATTTAACACACACACACTCTCTCTCTCTCTCTCTCTCTCTCTCTCGGCTTTAAAAAGAGAGAAAAAGAATTTTAAGCCTTGCCTGTTAAAGTAA